TAGACATGTCCAGCGCAATTTCAATACAACTTGAACTCCTGCAGGGGGGGGGGGGCGGTTACTTCTGTCCAGGAGTGTATCTTAGTGTGTATCCAAGATCTTATGGATTTGTACCTAAGATCTGTAATTAGACATTGGTACAAGATAATCGTATTAGCTTGTACCTAAATTTTCAAGATCTGTTTACTGATCTGTACCCAAGATCTTGGCCAAGATCTTGCTTACAAGATGTTCGACTAGCGTAGTGTGCAGTTAACGTTAAGATTGAGAAATGAAATATATTTTCAACATCAGCAATGCATATTTTTGCTTATCCTGGTTGCATAATTAAGAATATTGGATGGATGTGGGTGGAGTGTGGGTGTGGGTCTGCCTGAAGAAACGAACAAGCACTCACACCCACACCCTTACCCAGATCCAGACCCAGACATGTACCCACACTCACCCACACGCTCTTAATGGTGGGTTCTAATGAAGAGAAAAGGAAGATTATCATCAAATAAATTCAAGAAAAAATCTATAACCGGATTCAGCTTTTATCAGATATTTATTGGTCAAATAATTATAAAAGGAAGAAGTAAAGAAACAACGAGAAGTCAGAAAAGGAGAAAAACTTTTGAGAACTTATTTTAGTGTGCATAGTGGAACTAGTGTGCAGAACTGACTAATCTTACACGAAATAGCAGGGTGTGGGTGTGAAGAGAAGACTGAAATTCAACCACATACATGCCCACACCTTAATCTCGTGAATATCGAGTTCCTCGACTACGAATTACTGTTTTGAACTCTCGTATTAGAAAAAACGTTTTTTAAAAAATTGACGTGCTTCATCATCAATATGCAAAGAAACTCTATTTTGTTGTGTCATTGGCTGAATTTTGTCGTCATTCGCTATGTTTTTTGAACAGACTTCGGCAAAGCCTAATTGCTCAAGCGAAATCGATTGTCAGTGAAAATTTGAGTGGGAGATGTGCTGCAGTACTTTCAAAGTCTTCCATAAACACATAGTTTTCTTTATTCAGGCGGATATTGATTAAATTTATCTTTGTACAAAAATGTGCTTTGCACGTATTTCATGTGTGGTTTTTTTAACATGAGAAGAAAATTAAGATTTCTGTTTTTGCTACTATAGTGTTCTTATTAATGCTTGATAAAAGAATATGCCATACAACATTTTTAATACTGATTTTATTTTTAACTGTTTGAGTCATACATGTATAGCCAAAAACAAATAATAACATGTTATGATAATATTTAAATTTTCAAAAAAGAAAACAAGAATGAAACCATTGAGCCAATATTTATATGCTACCAATATTAATAAATAAAACACTGGAAACCATAAGATAAATGGATAGTTTAAACAACATATAAAATAATGCTTAAAAACGGCTAAAGTTTTTTATTTTTGACATAATTGTAACACGTGATGTTTCGGTATCTATTTCACAGATACCATCATCAGACGAAAAAACCACAATGCTACACACATCTATATCAGATTTAGTAAAACCTAATAAAGTATATGCGAAATATAATGTATCAGCACATTTAATAGATAAGTTAACTCATTAATCGCATATATAAAAAAATATCGTGCGATAAAATTAACCAAAACGAAAAGTTCCATCGAATCGGTTCATATGTATCGTATGAAGATTGAGAACTGGATAGATGAAAAAGGATATAACATTAAGGAAATCATATGAAAGATTGTGTAGGTGCGAACACGGAATTTTTTTTTTTTATAGTTGTTGTTGAATAGAAGAGAAGGATAAATTGGAATCGTGTATGCAGATGTAGATAGTGCGTGGAAAATTCTTTGTCTAGAAGAAACGTTGTAGCGTAGTGTTGTGTAAAAAAGCTATATGAGAATTGTATTCTTGATGGTTGTTCGCTATAGGGGATATTGTAGGAGAAACTAAGAATAGCGTTTAGGTTCGAGAACATTTTATTTTGTGTTTTAGTTTGATATTTTAGTGTTGGTTGGACTGTGGCAGGCAGTGAGGTACGAGTTGTGTAAGTTAGGTTATGGGGAACATACTAGTGCTGTTATGGGGTTTTGTCCTGCGTGTTGGAGATGATTATATATTTGTCTTTTTTACTCTGATGGTATTTTCTATCGTTTGGAATATGATAGAAAACAAAATTTCGTTCGTTCTTGTTCTTACTTATCAGGTTTCACGTTTTTTGTTAGAAATGCCGTATGTTGTTCCTCTTCTGTTTCACTCTTCGTATTGCTAGCTAAGCGCTGTCGAAATCTCCAGTTTATAGTAAGTTAATCTGCAAAATCATTTTTTTTCATTGTCAGTAATTATTATGGTATTACTCGATCATATGAGTATTGGTGGTTACCTAAGTTGTCATTATGGTCGAAATATAGTATGGATATACGATTCTACCATAATAGTGCACGAACGCTATCGGTCGTTACTACTCGATTTGATGCTCCTTAAGTACTGTCGACCTAGAGATATTATTTCTAGATTTTTGTTGTTTAAGACTGCAAATGAAAGGCTTTCAATGTCTTTTGCGTACAGAGAATGTCAAAGACGTCTTTTACGAGCTGAAATTAATTAACTATCGTGATCTATGTATTTTGAAAAAAATTACATGTTTCATCTGGCTGAGTTGAAAAAAAAATATACCTGACAACAGCTTTCAACACGTTTCCAAATATATTATTAATCGTTCACGTGCAGTATTATATGTGAAGGAGGATGCCTTACAAAGAAAGATTAATTCATTTCAATTAGCTCAAAGAAGAGTACCTCGTGTTGATCGAAATGTTGCTAAAAATTTACCGGCTCGTATATTGTAAAATGATGAAACTGATTGTCTTGCCCATGGATTAGATTATTGTCTTGTTCCTAAAAATACTGATGATATGAATATTGTTAGTAATATTGAAAAATTTTTTCATCGAATCACTGATATTTCTCAACATCATAAAAAGATAATGTCGGAAGTTAATGATAAAGATGCAATTGATGGTTCTGATGTTCGTGTTCTTGATTCAAAAGAAACGACTTTGGCGAGCAATTTTCGTTCTATAACTGACTCATTTCGTCAGCAAGCTTATCGTTTTGCACAATTACAGAATAGAATTAATATTGTACAGCAAAAATATCGTCATGTATTGAAGAGTTTAAAAGAAGATAAATCTATTGTTGTCACTTGTCCAGATAAGGGCAGAGTTGCTGTTTTGTTAGATAAAGTCGACTATTTATCGAAGATGCTTACTACACTGAACGGTTCAACTAAATTTTCGTTTTTGTCATATGCTTCTACAGTTATCCGAGAAGCTAAATTAATTAAATTGCTGAACAGGCTACTTGATGAAGGTAATATTTCTAAAGATTTTTATAATTTGGCGAGACCTTTTGGTTCGATTCCTGGACGTCTTTACGAATTGCCGAAAGTACATAAGGAAGATGTTCCACTTCGACCGGTTGTTTCAGCTATTAGAACGTTCAACTGTGAAATTGGGAAAGCTCTCTCACAATTATTATCACAATTTATCGAGAAAAAAAGATGATTCGTGATTCATTTTCATTTGTTAAAGAATCACTCTTGCTACCAAAGTCTATGTGACGGTACAAGATGGTATCTTTTGATGTTGCTAGTCTCTATACTAATGTACCACTTACTGAAACAATAGGAATAATCCTTAAACGTTTATATGATAGTCATGCTAAACCTTCTGCGATTAATTGAGAAAATATGAAGAAGTTGCTTGATTTAGCAACAAAAAATTCTCATTTTCGGGGTGGAGGTGGGTGTGGTGGGTTTGGGTGGGTGTGGATGTTGGTGTGACTATTCGAGTTACTTTCATCTACATCCACACCCACACCCACGCCATCTTCCTCAAGGTTATCTGCAAGGTTGACCAAATTCTGTATATGCATCTCGCCAACTTGGGTACAACTAGATTCGTTGTTTTCTGTGATTCAGCCCTGATTAGATCTATAGTGAAATCTACTGAGAATCTCCAGTTGTCCTCATCTGACGCAAACATAAAGAAAACTATCGAGCTTTATAGAAGAGATGAGAGCGAATCTTCAATGTAAACCTATGGAATCATGCCCAAATGTAGATTGTTCACGGTTGTGTGCTTGGAATGTTCCTTGGTGAGTCGGAACATTTCATAACGATCTTGATTCACCAGAAGATTTTCCGTCCCAAGGATGGCTGCAAGAGCAGCATACAGAGCTGGATTCTGTTGACTGAACAAGATTTGGCGAGTCCAAAGGCTAGCACTACCAATAGTGCCTTCTCTTGTAATACCTGTGATATTCCAAAATCTAAAGGAATAGAATAGATCGAAGCTGCATGAATAATATAAAAAGATCAATAGAATTGAGTAGAACATACTCTCGAGTCAAAAGCTGGTTATTGTGCTGTACAAGCTGTCCTACCAATGATTCAATTCCGTTCCAAATGTCTGAGATAGTGTTTGTGCACTGTTATGCAGTGAAGACGTTTGCAACGACAACGAAACCGTATTCCTCAAAAGATACACGAGCTTCGCTGGCTTTCGAACAGTCGTAGCTGGACAATATGAAACACTTCACGAAACTATCTGAGTCAAGACAGAAGATTAAGGTGGCCATAACGCGCAATTCAAGTAGGATTGTCTCTCTTTTTTTATACATGGTTCAATAGTGGTTGATCTACTGATCAAAAAGTTTGCACAAAAAAAGAAACTCAGTGCTTTAGTTTTTTTTGATATTTTTCTATTCTTTTATGTTGGTGAACTTCTACAACTTATATATTCAACTTCAATGCGAAAAATTGAGTACAGAACCACTATTAAATCGACTTCCATCAGTCATAACAGTATGCAAAAATTCTGTTTTTCTTTCGTGTTTGTTTGTCGAGAAAAATGATTATGACTAAATTTTGGGCAAAATATCTAGAATTCTGCTCACATGTGCTCCCTTTTCTTAATCAAAACTAAGCTCTCATACAATAAAGTTATAGTATTCAAGATCACCATAAAAAGAAAGGACCAAATGATGTATGTTTTCAGAATTTTCGTTACTCTTCATTTTTGGTGAAAATTTCAACTACTGCTTCAAGTAAAAAACTAGGAAAAAAGTGCAGTCATTTAGAAAAAAAATGACACACTAGTCTACCTAGCCTTTCACTCTGACTCTAAATATGACAATCTTATTATTTGCAAGCTTAGTTTGGTTCAATTTTGCCCAAAACTCAGCAAAAATGTGTTTTATCGATAAACAACAAGGAAACGAAAAAAGCGATTGATATTTTTATTACTGCTGATACAATGATTTAAATGAGATAAGATATTTGATTTTATCAATTACACAAAAACGACCAATAAATATGCGAATAATAGAACCAATTTGCATTGTCATCATCAGCAAAATTTTTGAATCATATTCGATTTAATAGTGACTTTGTACTCAGTTTTTGGCGCTGTATTTGACAATATATAAGTCGCAGAAATTGGAAACAACGGAATTTTATACAAAGAATGACTTCTTCTTAGTTTTGGCTTTTTTTTTTATCTGAAAAAGTTATTCAGAGAGGCTAAAGAATCGTTTTTTATTCACTAGTAGAAAAAACGAGAAAAAGCACCTTAGTTAAATTTCGCGGTGTGAATACCTTTAAAAGAATGACAGTAGACGAATGTTCAGATGCTGAGAAGAAAGTAAAGCTGAAAAAGTTAATATAACAAGTGTCGCACAACTGCAATTAAAACTCGTGTTTCACTTCACATGATGGTAGTACGAAAGAGAGAAAAAAAACACATTGATCGTCACAGAACCCATAGACGCACAGAATGTATAATTTGTTTCGTATGATAGAATTGGAAGACGAGCGATGTATTCAACATTTGACAAACATTGTTCGATGAAATACTGCCAATAAAGGTGTTGGCGTGGATGTATGAAGGAGAAAATAGCGGAATTAAGGATTTTCTTGGATTCCGTAGATTTCCAATGGATTCCGTAGATTTCCAATGGATTCCGCAGAATTCCAGGGCTCTGCTATGTATGCACAATTATGAGTAGTTTCTAGAGAATCACGGATAGAATTGGCAGAATATATAGAACATATGTTTTATTATGAATGCTCAATTGACGTTCTGCTGG